GATGCAAGATTCTGCTTTCACACTGACTCTGTTCTACGCTGGCTTCTGATTTATGCCATACTGTGTTTTCCACTGACTTCTAGGTGAAAGTGAGTAGTTCTAATTCCCATTTCTAAACACCGCAAATTCTCAAAGTAGCACATCCAATAATATTCCAGCAGACACAGAGCTCTGTTTCTGCCCTAGCAAAACTTGATCAATACACTGGACCGATGTAAGCAGAAAACAACATATATCTTGGAATTATCTCTCAAATTCCTGATTAATCATAGAAAAGTTTATATACCAAGATGAAGAAAAAGTCAATACTTCTGATTTGCATAACCAAAAAAGTTATAATTAATAGAGAAATCTTTTTTTTTTACCATTTTAAGCTCTCCATTGCTTTGCCCAAATCAAGGAAACATTAGAATTTACATCAAATCCACAAAGAGGCTTTGCAATATCTCACAATCCTCAAGGATTTAATAAAGCTATTCATGCAGATTGTCTTGAGGATTCTACTTAATTAATTAATTTAATTAATAATGCTATATGCAGACTTTTAGGCAGAACATGCATTCTGTTTAATTTCTTAGCACAGATAAGGTTGTCTATCTGAAAGAAATCCTACTGAAAGTAATACTTAGAAAAAGAACATTGCTGATAACACCTTATTTTGCTAATGTGCACTGCCCTAGAATTACTAAAGTCAGAGTAGTTTCTGCCTTTAGTCTTACCTTTTTACTTTTTTCTTCAGCTTCCTTTAGAAGTTAGGTACAAGTCTTAGCAGTCTTAATGATTAAGACATTAAAGAAAGTAAATTTGCCCATTTTCCTGGTAGAGTCAAGCATGTTCTGCTTATACCCACCAAATCAGTTTTGAATCAGGCCATAATTATTGTCTTCTCCAAAATAACACCTAAGTTCAGGATACTGTCATGCTAGAGAAAACATCCTAGTTAAAATATTTTAAACATAGTAGGTTCTCTGTTACAGAAAAGATGTCTGTGCCAAGCACTTCTAACTTCTAGGAATCAAAATATTTCAGCCATACCTTAAGCAGTATTTTATGCTGTCCCTTAAGCACTCATAAAGTAGAAAGGTGAGTGTGAATAAACATATATCATTATAACTGATTAGGCTGCAGCAGTACAAACGATTAATTAGAAAGAAAGATCTCAAAGCGAGGTCTAAAGATCAATGATATAGTTCTCATATACCTAGAATTAAGATACCATTTCATTTTAAGGCATCTACAATATAATAAAATATTATCTTTTTTTTTTCAGTGGTTTCTAAAATATCCTTAGAAACAACGGAATTAAAGAAAATATAAAAATACCAAAACAGAATACGCATTTTTTTTAATTACTGCCTCTGGAAGATACACACACACACACACACATTTGTATCTTTTTGTTACATAGGGTTTATAGCATTATTACTTGCATTTTAATATAAATGTTATAATAAATTGAATTATATTTCCCCTACAAGATTAATTTACAAAACCATATTGTGTTTGATGGTGGCAGCTGAACCCCTCAATGGAATTAATTAAAGGATAATCTCTGTTGCTTTGTAGCATGCAAACCAATAAATGGCTGCTGAGATTAATAGCTTAAGTGAAGCTAAAGTGTTTAAGGAATTTTAAACCTCATTTATTACGCAAACCCTAGAAAGAAAGCAAGCTTACAGTTATACAGCAAACTGGAACATCAAAAAAACACAAATAAACAACAACAAAAAAGAAAATATAATTTCCTTCCCTTGTAAATATTTGAGAGTGATGCTTCTTTCTTTGACAGTTCTGCGGCATACACATGAATTTGGCTAGAGTGAAAAAGGAACATGATTAAGCTAGAAACATGTGCTGGCTCTTTTGATTGTGCGTCTAAAACAACGAGTGTCCAGGGAAAACACTTAAAAAAGAATATTAGAAGAGTAAAATATCATTGATGAAAATATGAGTCACTTTTTGAAGAGAATTTGTATGTGAAAGCTCAAGTTTTTATATTCAAGGCAGCATTTCCCAAACGTAACATTGTAAATGATAAGACTGACATGGCATTTGGAGAGTTTTCCTTACAGCAGCTACTGTAAGATACTTTAGGTAAAATTGGTTCTGCATCTTTACTGAAACTCTTTAGATGGCAGAAATGAGATTTCTGTGATACTTTCTGTGATATTTAGGCCTTCTTATGGCCTTTCTAGGAGTAATGGGGATAGAGGGCTGTGCTACAGCAGATAGGATGCTTGTTTTGAAAGTTTGTCCAAGGGAAAATTTTTCAACGCCATTTTCAAAGGAGTTGTATAACCCTTTCTTGGGATCAACCAACTTATTCAGTGTTATATGATATGAATTGAAGGCTGTTTTTAAATATCATATAGTAATATTTTATCTTATTGCCTTTGTATCACATATTCTCCTAAGCTTTGTTTTCTTATTTAATATGAGGTAGTCTAATAAGCACTTCCTACAAGCATTGTACCAAAAAAATCTACTTTTCCTTATATATTTCTACCAAAAAAACCCAAATCCTTGTCAAATTCTGCAATTTCCATTTTAAAAAGGTGTTCATTTTGTTTTTCTTGTTATGCAATGTTACTAAAGTTTAAAGTTATTGAGGGACAGAATGTGGCTTAAATTTGCCCTACCAATTGTGTATCTTCAAAGGTGATAATGGCTCAGCATTCTGAAAAAAACATATTAATTGTCCTCTGAGGTCTAACACTTGTTCACGATAACAAATGTATTTAACAGAAAGGAAGAAAAAAGTGAAGTCTATACATCACTGCCTGGTCTGCTAGCATCTGCTCTGGTTTCACGTCTGCCTGCGAAACCCGCCTCAGGAGTTCCTCTCTTTCTCAATCCATCTGCGTGAGAATGAAAGAGAAAGAAATAGAGAAATCTCACGGGATGTGTGGCCACTTTATCATTCCTTTTGAGCTTAACCATTTATAGAGCAATAGGAAACACCAGGTCTGGCATGGAAGAGACAGCATGTTAAGTTCAAAGACATGTTTTAATCTATGTGAACTACTAATGAGCCAAGAGATCATTCATTGTGTTCTTCTGAATAATGCTTTCTCAGCATTAAATTCAGGAGTAAATTCACTTCAGGTTCTTTCTCTTTCCCCCTTAACTACATATGTGGCATTTTACTGCATTACTGTAGACTGTTCTGAGATCTTCAGTAGAAATGCACTAAATGAAAAGCACCAAACTGCTCAAAATTTAACAAATGTTGAGTTTTTAGGTGGTTTCTTTATTATACAGGTCCTAAAATAATCCAAATTGGGAAAAAATATATATATATCTATCAGATTTCTTTTTGAAAAAAATCTCAGTTCTCTCTCCTATTTATGGAAAAATGTTTTATTTAAAAGAATGCAATTTTCCCTGACACCAAATATTAGAAATCCTATACTAAAATAAACATTCAAAAGAATATTATTCTAAATTACTTAGAGCTGAATTTGATAACATGCTGAGAAGTTTCCATCTCTTTCAGTAGATGTGAGATTTTCAGCCCTTAATTCTCACATAAATTTCAAGATATGCACTGATCGGTGCAATTGACACCAATCTGAATTCCATCTCCAGTGATAATTTATCACTTTGTAAAGCATTTTTAGATAGCTGAGCTGAAGTATATCAGGTATTACATAGTACTCTATTTCAGCTCTAAATGACATATAATATTTGTTATCCTCCATATTTAATCATTATCATTTGAATTTAAACTCTAGGAACTTCCTGCCACTGATATAAGCACTACTTCTGTTTGATCTGAAGATTATCCATCTCTAACACAAGTACTGCCCTGTATGCTTTTATATATATGCATTCCAGTTTTGGAATTTGTTGGAAAAGCATCTTCATCTAAGCTATCCGAAATTCAAACTTGAAAAAGTCTCTGAAGATCTATGAAACATGATAGATAAGAAAGGCTATAAACAAAGACAGAGACCTGAATAGTTAAAATAAAACTTGATGAACCAGCTGCCTACAGGCTTTTTCCAGTTTAAATTTAACTTGGTCTTCTGGAGAGTGCAGCAGGCAAATGGCCATGTAAACAGACTGCACAAGGCTAACTTATTCCAAGCAAGATAGGAGAAGGGAAAAATAAATCTCATCTGCAG